ATGAGAAATTTAAGAAAAAAGAAAAAGGCATACTCTCTTCCTTTAACTCCTCAGTCTCCTGAAGCTGGACCCCAAACTCCATTCTCCAGGGAAAGAGCCCAGAGGCCAGAGTCACCACAGACCTCCCTGTCGCTAAGACCAAATGGCCTGTCTCCTGCTGCTCAGCCTCTGCAGCTCTGGAGACGTCTCCTGAAACACTCTTTCTTTGATGTCTTTGGAACCAGCCTGTCCTGGGCTTCCCGCCTGACCAGTACTCTTTTCTCCACCCTTTCGTTGGGTCCTCAGCCACAGCTAGGCCTTTAAGAGCCTTTCTTCCTCGGGGTCCAGGCCTTGTTTTGTCTTCCCATTCTCCACATTCTCATCTGCTCCCCTGACTTCAGGTGCCTCTTAGGTCCGTGTTTCCAACCCAGACACAGGCCTGAGCTCAGGGACTGAGTGTCCACCTGCCTGGTGGGCCTGGCCACTTGCTGCCCCTCAAGCACCTCACCCTTATTGTGCAACCTGGAGCTCATCAACTTCCTTCACCAACTCCCTCTCCTCTCCTTCCCCCAGTAGTGAGGGTGCTTAGTTTTCCTAGCAGGGACCCCAGGGTTATTCTTGATTCTCTCCCACATCTGCCACACCTTCAATCCTGCTACATACCTTCCAATACCTCTATTCCATCTGTCTCCTCGGCCCCACTCCCACGGATGCTGCCTTAGCCTGCACCTTGTTCATCCTCTCTTATCTGCACCATAGCAGTAGCCACCAGTGGTCTACTTTCTTGACCCACTTTGTTCTACCAGAAGGAACTTCTTAAAACACACATTGGATGGGGTCATGTGCCATGTTGCAAGGCTTGGATGGCTCAGAGTAAGGGCCAGACTCCTGGCAGGACACAAGGTGCTCTGCAAACTGACTCTGGACCGCTGACAAGCTCCCTGCAGCTGTGCTGTGGCCCATCACCGCAGAACCAGGGGTACATGCATAGGACTGGTTCTTCCAAACACTCTGTGGGCTTTCTTACTTCCGTGCCTTTGGTCGTGCTCGTTTGAAGGTTCTTTGAATTATCCCCTGCCCTTCTTACCCTGATGAGGTCCTTATTATAATAATAACTTAAAGATGCAGCTTAAATCTCACTGAACGTCTATATCGTTAGACGTTGGGCTTCCTAGGCTGGACCTTGTTTGTGTTTGCATCTCTGACGCCTCGTACCTGATAATAGCTCAGAAAGTATTTATGGAAGTGAATTGAGTATTTTTTCTAAATATGAGTTCTTAATACCATAGCATAATTTAGTTAGACTGTAAAACCAACTGGCAGCTGTATTAGTTTCCTGTTGCTGCTGTAACAAATATCACAAACTTAGTGGCTTAAAGCAACACACATTTATTCTCTTACAGTTCTGGAGGTCAGAAGTCTAAAATGGGTCTTAGAGGCTAAAATCATGGTGTCAGCAGGGCTGTGTTCCATCTAGGGATTCTAGGAGAAAATCTGTTCCCTTGCCTTTTCCAGCTTTTAGAGGCTGCCTTCTTTCCTTGGCTTGTGGCCCCAGCTCCTGTTCTTTCCCTTGTAATTGTGTTGGGCCCACCCAGGTAATCCAGGATTAACAGCCCCATCTCAAGATCCTTAATTTAATCACATCGAGGAGGTCTCTCTTGTGATGTAAGGTAGCATATTCACAAGTTCTGGGAATTAGGACGTGAACATCTTGGGAGGGTCATTATTCTATCTACCACAGCAGCCTTTTTCTGAAGTCAAGTGCTGGAAAGCTAAGCTTTTAAAACAACCAGTTAAGAGATGTTTGGATTTCATTCTGAATAACAATGAGATTAGATCAGCCATGTATTTCATTGCACACGAAGGAAATTGCTCAGCTTGTCTGTGCTCCAGGTCTGAAAAAGAGGCCTCGCTGCCTCTTACAAAGCCCCATGCTTGGGGCTTTCAGCTGTTTTAGGGTAACTCAGGATATGTTTCATGGGAGTAAAATAGGAGAGACATGCAAATCTCTTGACCTCCACCATGAAGAGAGGAGAAAACTTGTTTTTTCCTGGAAAGGAGATGAAACCCCTACAGGATGAGTTACCAGACTCACACTCACTGTCATGGGCCCACAGATTCCTGCCTCCCTGATCATTAGCCTGATATGTGGGTGAGAAAAGGAAAAGGTAAAGCTGTGAAAAAAATTGTCAGAATCTCCCAAACAAAGCTTGCAGTTGCCGAGCTGCTCCTTTGGGAAGATGTGGGTTCCAGATGGTTGCCTGAAGCATTAATCACTCTCTCCTGAGCCAGAAGAAAATGAAGATTAATAATAATAACTTTAAAAAATGACTCCTAAATGGTTGCATATGAAAGAAAAGAGGGCCCAGAGCTGAATTTGATAGAAATGATCCATTGCTTATTGATCAGGGCCTGTTTCATCCCCGCCTGACGGTAACCTTGGAATTGCTAGACCTGTAGGCCAGCCAGCGGTCATGGCGAGCGTGATGAAGCTTACATCATAGCTTACATCTGGAAGCTTACATCATAGAATATTAGAGCCAGAAAAGGACCTTGAAAATCATGTTTTTAAACCCCTTCACTTAGAGATGAGGTTAGACTCTATGCCCAAGGTTGTCTAGCTCAGTGGAATCAGGCATAGGACTAGAATTTGAGTTGCCTGAATCCCGATTCATTGCCCTCTGGCTGTTCCTTACTATCTCTGAAAGAGGACAGACAGTTGAGATCTGTACAGTAATTACAAAAGACGGTATAACAAGCTCTTATCCTTTGTGGTACAGAACTTAAGTACTCTTAAGCGGTTAGACACAAGCAAGGTCCTGGCGGCCAGAGAGCCAGGCGGAATTTTGAGCTGGACCATACAGAGTAGATGGAGTAGTGCACTCCAGGCAGTGCAGGGAGGCCAGTGGTCACCAAGCGAGGGGAGATACCGTGATGGACCCACTTTTCTGGAGCAGAGAGCAGAGCTCCTTAGTTGGTGTGAGGATGCTGGAAGAGTTGGTGGGACAAATTTTAAATCTCCTGAAATCCAGACAAAAGTTTTTGCACTTTCTGTGGGTGACTATAGAGCTTTGAAGAGATTTGGCCTCAGGAAAATGGTGGCTGAGTATGGAATTTTGAAAGAAAAGAGTTGTGTGTGGGTGAGACTTTGTGCATATTACTTTAGGATCCATCTAAGGAAGAAGAGTAGCTAGAGGGAGCGGGAGTGAGCATGGTCTCCAAAAGCGATGCCTTCTCTTCGTTTCTTTTTTAAGTAGTATGTTGCCTTGATGGTGGTTGAGATTAGGATGGAAAGGCCTCAGGAACGCAGCATGGAAGAAGACTGTGCTCACCTCACAAAGTTGGAGTGCGGCTCCTTGCCAAGACCCACCCCTCAAAGCACTGTCCTGGGACCTGTTTACACCTCTAAACAAGGGCCAACTTTCCCCACAGGAAATGGGGATGTGTGTGCTGCACGCCGTATGCTTAAGGGAGGAAGGAACACTCTACTATTATGGCCAGGCCTAACTGGGTACTGGGGACGAATAAGGCACATCTTCATGGAGCTTCAAGGAGTTGTGGGGAAGACAAACTCATAAACAGACAATTATGGTACCCAGTGGTAAGTGCAGTGTACAAGGAGCCATGCAGCACTGGGAAGGGTGCTCACCCAGCTTCACCTGAGTCCTGTACCATGGCAAGGGCATGGAGACAGCATGAGCAGAGGCAGGGAGGCAAGAACCTGCTTAGAATGCCTGAGGGTTGGTAGGGCTGACGAGGAAGGGGTGGTAGGTTCAGAACATTTTCAGGAGGTAAAATAGGCTGATCATGGGGGTTGGGCCTGCAGGGGGAGGGGGGAGTCAGGAAGGCCTCCTGGTTCTAGGATGGAGGACACCAGAGATAGAACGTGAGGAAGAAGGGGAAGGTTAGGGAGAGCAGATGTTGAGGTCAGATGTGGCCAGGCTGAGGTGAAAGTGCCTGTGGGGCAGCCAGGTAAAGATGCCCCTGACCTGGAGCCCAGGCTGAGGGAGCCCCACTGCGGGCTGCCTGGGCTTTCATGATGGCCAGTTGCCTCCAGTGTGTAAATCCCTGTGCCCTTCCCAAGGAAGCCAAGGATATCTTGGGGAAACTACCATAATCTGAAAAGACCACCAGGTCTTACACTAAGAGAAATAATTAAAAATCCTTGTGGGCATATCTACAGACAGTATCCTGGCTTTAGCAACATATGCAAAGAAATCATTGTGATCCATTGCCAGGTGGATAAATCTGGGCACTTGTTTTTTCATAAGCACTTAGATCTTTAAACCACTGTCCTCTAGTAATAACAGGGAGAAATTCAGTTGTATGGCATGGCTCTTTTGAAGTCAGGTAATGTCACAGTCTGTCTCCTTTTCATCAGTAAAACAGATGGTAAACCCAGCACCAGCTGCATGCTCATCGTGGTGGCTGAGCTGACAGTATATGGTGTGATGGTGCTGCCGTCGCCCTGCGCTCGGAGTAGGAGAGGCGTTGAACAGAATCAAACGCCTCTGACGGGAGGTCAGCCTGTGGTGTCTCTTTGTGTTCCAGCCCACCCTGTGATTGCCCGTCATCTTCCTCAAGCAGCTGTGGGGCTGATCCATCCTCTGTGCACATGTTTACACATCAGATCCTATTGTTTGCTTCTGCTACACCACTGTGTTTGTCGCAGTGCCACTCATACAAATTCGTGTTCTTTTCAAGCCTGTTTTCTGTTTTATAATCATAATCTTTACAATCATAATATTTGTTGTTACTCTAGACAGCAGGTTCCTATAAAATTTTGTTTTCATGAAGGGTTGTTAGAGATTCCAGGAGTTCAACAGACCAGGTTTGGGGAACATTGTAGTTATTTTACTCAGAAATGAATTCCTAATATCCATAAAATTGTTCCTGTTTTAGGTAGCTGTTGAAATGTAAATTTTTTTAACCACTGCACACACTCAGTTAACATTCATCACTAGAATGTGTGTTGTTAAAGCTTCCTTTTTCTGATGTACTGATCCATTTTGTTTGCACAGAGATTTTGCTTATGTAGCAAGAGACAAAGATACAAGAATTTTGAAATGTCATGTATTTCGATGTGACACACCAGCAAAAGCCATCGCCACAAGTCTCCACGAAATCTGTTCCAAGGTAAGGGGAGTCAGGGCACGGTAGTCCATCCCTCTCTTTTCTCACTGCTTTAGCAGGGAGAGGGGTGTGAAGGGGCAGGAGAGGGGGCACATGGACCCGCAAATTGAGCTCAGGGAGAAGCAGGCAGACTGTCTGTTCGGCCAGCCTCGTTACAGTGCTCTTGCTTCGTGTCAAGCGTTGCGCTAAATGGCACTCCATCTACAGAATGAATAGAGCCATAGGCCCTCCCAGTCTGGGGGTGTATAATAGATAGACACAACAGTGGCAGGTACAGGGCAGAGATGTGTACACCAAGCCCAGCCAGAAAGTGGGGGAAGTGAGTTGGGGCCGATTTCCCAGGGACAGGGCCACCTGACCTGAGAGTGAACACAGAAGGGAGGGTGGTAGGAAACCACCTGTGGTGTCTGTGGAAATGCACACAGCTGAGGCTTGCCATGGACACACACTGACTTCCTGAGGACACACAGCAGCTCGTGGAAACTCTGACCAGCTGTGAGGAAGGGCTGTGGTCACTGTTTCACACTGGAAGGGTCCCGCTTCCTTAACCAGAGTCACAGAGCCTCAAATGAGAACAGACAGTCATCTGGGCATTGCCAACCCAATCTCTCTCCCTTCCTCCCTCCTTCCAGCACACCATTCCTAACACAAACATCCCCAGCCTCTGCCCGGCACTTCCATTGATGGAGTCTTGTAGTACTTGTTCAGGAGACTGTTCTATTATTGAGTGGCTTTGGCTGTTATAGAGTTCTTTCTTGTGTTGACCTGAAATCTTCCTCTCTACAACCCCTATGTATTTACTTGAGATCTGTGACCTATAGCGACAAAGAAGGATTCCTCCAGCTTGTCTCTTTGCTGGGTAGCACTTTGTTATTTGAAGCTGTGTGCTGGGCCTGGCACGGTTAGAGGTGCTGGATGAGAATCCATCATTGAGTCTTCCTGCTCCTGACTTCCTCCCTTCTCAGAATCCCAACCCCTTCTCTTCAGCCACCTTCTGGTCACGTGGTTACCAGGCTCCTAACCATCCTCTTCTGGGCATACTCTGGTTGGTTCCCACTGAGTGAAGGCAGTGTTCCAGAAATGAGCTGGCAGAGAACAGACCATGGGCCACCCTGTCCTTTGACCTCAAGGATACAGTACTAGGGTGATTGATGTTCTTAGCAACCATATCACCCACTGGCTTGTATTCAAATAGTGGTTGGCCAAACCCTCAGGACACTGTCACCAACTTCCTTCAGCCAGGCCTTTCCATTTGCCCAAACCTACTTATTGAATCCAAATACAGGGCTTTGCCATCACCTCTTTTGAACATCACCTTTCTGGTTTCGGGCTGACGTCATGACCCAGCCACACTCTCACAATTCCTCCTGAGCTAGCAAGGCCCAGGCCATAGCCACAGCCAGTGCCATGGCACAGCCTGCTGTCTGAGCAGTAAGAGTGAAGCAGGTGCAAGCCACAGTTCCTGCGGGAACTGTCCCCAGCCCCAAAAGAAATAGCCCACCAGTCTGCTGCTCTGACCCACGTGACAGGGACACACGAGATGGGTCTAGAGACCACCACGTTCATCCCAGCCCATGTTCATGTTTTGCGGTGATAGGACCGGGGGGCATGGCCGCACCTTTTGCAGCATTGCAGCACGCTCCCCAGGTTTCATTTTTTTCCATTCATTCATGCAACAAATATAAGTGAATACCATTTATGTGCCAGGCACTGCTCTGAGGAGACAGCAGAGACCAAAACAGAAAGAAGTCCCTGTCCTTGCGGAGCTTGTGTTCTAGTGTGAAGCCCTCAGAGCCTGGCCTGGCACAGAGCAAGTGCTCAGTAAATACTCCATTTTATCCTTGTCAGCAGCCCTCCTGCCCCCTGCCCCAGGCACAGATCTGGAGATGGGCCGAGTGGAGCTCTGGGAGAGACATGCCTTTTGTTGCAGTAGGAATGGAAAGCTTGGGTTGGGAATGAAGATGTGAGTTGCTTTTGGGGTCTTTGAAGGGTGGGCTTCATTCAGTCCCTAAACCCACAGCACTGTGTAAACGAGTGAAAGGGATGACTCTTCAGTAAAGGAGATGTTAGTGTACCTCACAGAAGAGAGACAATTTAGAAGACTGCTGATGGATTTAAACAGCTGGAGAATAACAACAACTACGACAGCAGCTAATATTTCTGAGTGTTTATGTTTGATCCTGAGAACCGACATAATATTGTTATTATTGGGGACGTAAATATTATCATCCCCACCTACAGTGGAGGAAATGAGACACAAGAAGTCAGGTGACTTGGTGACTCAGCTAGTATGTGGCGGAGGTGGGATTTGAACCCATGTACTCTGTCCCCAGAGTACCTTAAAAGAGTACCTAAAAGTCAGCATCCACAAGCAATGGGGGGAGTCTGTTGCTCTGTGTTCCACTGACCACAGTGGGCCAGCAGGTCCACACATGACCAGGGATATTTGTTTGGGTTGTTTTAGTAGAGATGGGAGCCTGGTGAATGGAAGAATAAATTCCAAACAATTAGGAGACGTACTGTTACAAAATATGTAGCTCAGAGATACAGGGGTGAGAAGTCAGGCGATAGACTAAAGCTAGGTTAACCTGAAGTGAAATCAGCTCAGGCATTGTACTGACTCGAATAGCTGAAGATGGGGCCTCTTAACCACAAACCAAAGCTGTGTTTTCTCTTCTTCAGATTATGGCCGAACGGAAGCATGCCAAAGCCCTGGCCTGCAGTTCCTTACAGGAAAGAACCAACGTGAACCTCGACGTGCCCTTGCAAGGTAGGTTGGTGGCATCTACTCTCTTCATGGTGGCGCTATTCATCCTAGTCAAGAACCAAAGGGTCTCAGATGGCTCCCTGGTGTTTCTAATCTCCTTAAAAACCATGCTCAACTCAACGGACACGTGCTGAGCTTGCACCTAGTGTCCTCCCCGTTGCATAGAGCTGATTTTGTGTCGATAGGATTGGGCATGAAGAGCCAAGGTGAGTTTTGTTGTTGTTGGACAAGATTAAAGAATATTATCTTTGGTGGTTTTATAACTCATGTACAGCCTGGGGTAAGGACCAGCTGGTTTAAAAATATGGGGATTGATATTGGATGAGGAGGCTCTATTATTTTCCCCAGTTGCTCCCTTTGTGATTAAATTTTCTCTGGGCATAAACCACAGCTAACAAATAAGATGTCAAAAGCTGTTACTTATCACACATCGAAGGGACAGTAGCAGCTTTAACACAGAGATTCCAGTTCCTGCTTTCAGATGTTTTCCCTTCTAGAAATCAAAGTTGAGTGGGATTTGGATTGACAGAGCCCCAGTGTCTCCGTTCTTTTAGAGCAATTGCTGCATTTACCTCTAGAAACACAGGACATTACGGCACAGGGGGTGCATTCCAGGTGACACAGGGATAGCTGCATTTTATGTGTGTGTTGGAACCACTGAGAAAGATGTGTTGCTTTTGTTCCCTGTAGTAGATTTTCCGACACCAAAGACTGAGCTGGTCCAGAAGTTCCGTGTGCAGTACCTGGGCATGTTACCTGTAGACAAACCAGTCGGTATGTGAAACATGCTCATCTTTCCACTTTGCAGGTGTTGGGGAGCTCGTGGGAGGTGTTCACCCTCCCAAAAGGATGGGGTCTGTGGTTTCACTCCCTTTCTGTGTGTGGAATTAGGCCCCTGTACTGTTACCAGCCAGAGCACAGAAACAGTCCTGATCAAAAGAACAGTAGAGGACAGGCTAAGCCACCCTGACCCGTGATCCCCACAATATAGGGACCTTAACAAAGTGGACACCTATTTCTCATTTACCCAAGAGTCCAGAGATGCGCGATCCAGGGCTGTAGTAGGACCCTGCTATTCTCAGATGGGGCCTTCATCCCTGGGGCTGGGCACCTGCTTCAGCCCTTGTCAGCTGGCAGGCAGGGAGAAAGGGCTAAGGGAGCCCTCATGCCTTCCTTCAAGATGTTACCCAGCAGCAGCGTACACTGCAGTCAGCTCACATCCCAGGGGCAGAACTTAGTCACTTAGCCATACCAAGCTGAGAGGAGGCTGGGAGGTGTGGCCTTTACCCAAGTAGAAAAGGCTGTGGAGAAATCAGAGCCCTCATGCGCTGCGGGTGGGAATATAAAATGGCACAGCTGTTTTGGAACAGTCTGGCAGTTCCTCAAAAGGTTAAACATAGAGTTACCATTGGACCCAGCAATTCTGCTCCTAGGCATGTACCCAAGTGAAATGAAAACATCTCTCCACATGAAAATTTGTACATGAATGTTCACAGGAGCATTATTCGTAATAGTCAAAAAGTGGAAACAACCTAAATGTCCATCAATTGATGAACAGATAAGTAAAATGTGATGCTGCCGTGCAGTGGAATTTTATTTGGCAATAAAAAGGAATGAAGTACTGAAACACGCTGCAACGTGGACGAACCTTGAAAACATTACACTAGGGGCCGGCCCTGTGGCGTCGTGGTTAAGTTCACACGCTCCACTTCGGCAGCCCAGGTTCGTGGATTTGGATCCTGGGTGCGGACGTATACCACTCATCAGCCGTGCTGTGGTGGTGACCCACATACAAAATAGAGGAAGTTTGGCGTGGATGTTAGCTCAGGGACAATCTTTCTCAAGCAAAAAAAAAGAGGAAGATTGGCAACAGATGTTAGCTCAGGGGGAATCATCCACACCAAAAAAAAGAAAACATTATGCTAAATGAAAGAAGCCAGTCACAAAGGAGCACATATTGCATGCTTGCATTTATATGAAATGTCCAGAATAGGCAAATCTCTAGAGATGGAAATTAATTAAGTGATTGCCTATGGCTCAGGGGCTGGGAGGGTGACTCTGAAAAGGTACAGCGTTTCATTTTGGGGTGATAAAAGTGTCCTAAAATTGATGGTGGTGATGGTTGCACAACTCTGTGAATCTACTAAAAAACATTGAATTATACACTTTAAATGAGTGACTTGTATGTTATATAAATTATATCTCAATAAAGTTGTTGTCCCACCCCCCCCACCCCCAAAACAACAGCTGTGGAGAACAGCCAGCAAAAGTGCCCCATTGAATAGCACATAGGACTCACGTAAAGGTGCCACCCAAACTTGTTGAACAAAGTCAGATGAAGGAAGATGGGGTATTCTGGCAGACGCTGGTTTCTGTTGGGTTCCCTTTCCCAAGGCCCTTGCTTAGAAAATGATAGCATTTGCTTGAGTACTGTTACACACTCTTTGGAGAGAGAAGGAGAAAGGAGCCCGTGGTCTGACTAGACAGAACATCACACTACATCTCTGGAGGTTCTCATGACCCTTCTTTCTGTGGAAAAAGCTGGCATTTCTTTTAAGCAAACATGAGAAATGAAATGTCTTCTGGGGCTATAAAAAAAGGTTAATCTGGGGATAGCCATTACAGGGTGATTTGGGCCCACGTTTGAGAATGATAAATAGCTTGAGGACCTTTCTCAGTTGTCCCTTCCATCCACAGGAATGGATACCCTGAACAGTGCCATAGAAAGTCTCATGACCTCATCCAACAAGGAGGACTGGCCATCAGTGAATATGAATGTGGCCGATGCTACTGTGACTGTCATCAGTGAAAAGGTATAAAGGATTGTGGATGCAGTTGGCCTGTGTGGGTTGCAGTGAGGTTTCGGATGCGATAATCTTCTGTGAAACTTAGACACATCGCCAGGGCTCAACTTGTGGGGCATTGTGCTTGCTCGTGATTAAAATAGCCTACATTTTTTAAAGAAAAGATTTTGCCCCTTATGTCTGGATCTCTGCACACCTTTGCTTTCCTCTGGACTCAGAAGCTTCTCTTCCTGTTCTCCTAATTCTTTCTTTCTCATATGCCCAAGAGATTGACATCAGTTGCTGGGGGTGACTATATGACACTGGCAGTAACTCACTAATGGGGTTTGGTTTTCTGGCTGGTCACTCTCTGGGCTCCAGTATTGACTGGGCTGTTTTCTGGGGTTGGAGCACAGGAGATGCTTCTGTTATAGAAGGTCCTGTGGTTTGTTTGGTCATTAGTAACAGGGGCCACTGGTCATCTTGAAAGAGGCCAGCATTAGCCTCAACTCAAATTATCCCAATTTTGTGGTTGAGGAAGCTAAGGTACAGAGAGATTAAGTAATTCCCCAAGGTTGCACAGTCAGAAGTAGTAAGGGCAGGATTCGAATCCAGGCAATCTGGCTCCAGACTCTTGACCACTTTCCCGCCTCTGTGAAGCTCCGGTCATGGAAAGACCACAATCTTCAGCCTGCTCTAGCTTCTGTTCACTAGCAGGTCGCCTCCTAAAGAGGAGTAAGATGCTCACTGACCTGCCCGCCTCTCCAGCCTACCACGCTGGATTGTCTTCACATCTTCAGACATGTCACGCCCTTTCCTACCTCAGCGTCTTTGCAAGTGCTCCTTCCGTGCTCCACGCCTTTGCCTCCCCAGCCCTTACCCTGAGCTCATCTTAAACATTATTTCTCCCAAGAAAACTTTCTTCTTGGCCTCTCAGACTAGCTTAGTCTGCTTGTTAAACAATTCCACAGCACCTGAGTGAATATTTAATCATTCAAGATGTTAATGATCCAAAAGTAAACATTCTGGATGTGTTTACTAATTCAAAAATTGCATATGGTTGCTGCAAAGGGTGTGGTGTTCATAAGAACACCATTCATAAGAATGAATTCCAAACGTTTCTTTACACCGCATCATATGGATACCAGTTTGTGAAAAAGAGAAAAAAATGATCTGGCAACTTTTTGTTTTACACGGTTTTAGACAGAAATATGATTCAACGTGCTGTTTAGCTTGGGAAGAAGAACTGGATGGAAAGTGATCCTGTGGCTCTTTTTCTCTTGGTGCTCTGGGGTTTCCAGTGGGTTCGCCTGGGCAAATGGGTTTTGAGCCACTGGGTGCCCTGTGTGAGCAAGACGTGAGAAATATACATGACATTGTTCCTACCCTCATGGACTCACAGGCTTGCAACATAGTGGATAGGGAACGGAGTACACATACCAAGGTTGCAGTGTAGTTCAGAGCAAGATTAAATGCCACAATGAGACACCCATAGCAGCGATGGCCTCTCCAGACACATTTAGAAACTTTTGCCTTTCAAAAAAAATACAAGTCCTTTCTAATTCAGTCTGGCTATATATTTTTTAATACCAGTTCCTATATGCAGCCACTCTAAGCTTGATCCTATGATTTAAGATCCAAACCTGTTTGTGGCTATTGCCTGGCTTCCCGGAGAGAATGGGCTGTGAACAATGTCTCTTGCAGAATGAAGAGGAAATCTTAGTGGAGTGTCGTGTGCGATTCTTGTCCTTCATGGGTGTCGGGAAGGATGTCCACACGTTTGCCTTCATCATGGACACTGGGAACCAGCACTTTGAGTGCCACGTTTTCTGGTGCGAGCCGAATGCTGGTAACGTGTCCGAGGCAGTGCAGGCTGCGTGCATGGTGAGTGATCCTGCCACAGGGGTTCGACCCACATGCCCCCTGCTTTTGTTTGATGTGCCATATATTAGAGCAGAGTTACTACTTTAAAAGAAAAAAGGTCTAATCTCTAAAGTAATGCTTTATTGTATAACGCCCTCATTCCTGTGGACAGAGTCAATTATGACGAGCAGTTTGCCATCTTAAGAGGCGAGGATACCTGAAAGCAACAGGACCGGATGGAGCCCAGTTCTGTAGGGCTCCAGGAACATTGAAAAGGATGGTCTTCAAAACCTCGAATTCGAGGATTCTCTATTCTCGGTCCCTCATTAATTTCAGTATGTGGTCAGGAAATGTTGGTCATGCATGAGTTGGTGCTGTTTGGAACCAACTCAGTACTTCAAAAAAAAATGCCATGAATTGAATGATTTTTATTTCAGACAGCTGGATTGAGTGCATTGTTCTTACATATTTTATTTTCTTTATATCTGTGAACTCAGCTCTTACAACAACCCTGTTAGGTAGTTGTTAGTTCTGTTTTATTGATGAGAAAACAGAGGCTTGGAGGAGAGAACGGGCCCCAGGGTGCAGAGTTGGTCAGTGACAGAGCCTGCGTTCAACCCCAAGTCTTCCAGGTAACAAAGCTAGTGCTCTTTGCATCACATATATGATTTCAAACAAACAAAAATAACTCATCGTTTATTCCGCAAATATCCTTTGAGCACCTATTATGCCAAGCACTGAGAAAGTTCTGGTAAAAATGAGGGAACTGTATGAATGTAGGCATCGAAACCTGGGCTGTGTGGTACATTCTAGCAACAGCAGATTGGGTTGGTGGAACCAAGTGGGAGGAGGTAAGGGTCCACGTCATGAAGGGCCTGTGATGTCATGCCAAGGTTTATCTTTGGTAAAGATCGTTAAGCAGGAGTGAATTGATCATATTAGGTTTTAAAAGTATACTCCAGAACAAAAGAAAAGAAAGGGGAAGATGGGTTGAAAGGTCTAGGCTGAGGTGGGGAGATCAGCCAAGAGGCTAGTTTACTGGTCCAGATGATAGCTGTGGAGCATCTAACAGGGAGGGTGGCAGTGGGAATAAACAGGAGCAGATGATTTGACAGACGTTGTAGAGAATCGCCTGGCTTGGGGAGGAGGAATGCTGAATTTGCCCTGTGCTTCATTTAATTTTTATTTATTTATTTATTTTTCCCCCAAAGCCCCAGTAGATAGTTGTATGTCATAGCTGCACATGCTTCTAGTTGCTGTATGTGGGACGCGGCCTCAGCATGGCCGGACAAGCGGTGCGTCGGTGCACGCCCGGGATCCGAACCCGGGCCACCAGCAGCGGATCGCACGCACTTAGCCGCTAAGCCACGGGGCCGGCCCGCCCTGTGCTTCATTTAATTCAATCCATCATTTATGGGCTGGACTCTGGGAAGTTCAAGTAGGACTAAGGTATAATCCTTGCATTATGGAGTTTAGGTATATGGGGGAGACACATTAATCAAAATTCTGTTATAGTGTAGAAAGTGCTATAACTAAAAGTATAAGACTGCCCTGGATTGAGAAGTGACTGGGAGAGAAATAAGTGGAGGCCCTGAGAGTAGATTACTCACAAAGTCTGACAGTGAAGGGGTAGCTTGAAGCACAACACTGCGGGGTTTGCTCATTTGTTTTAGAATTGGGGAGATTCGCACGTTTTTTTAGGCCAGGGGAAGTGAGTCAGTGAAGCTGGATTGAAATGGGGGCCATATAATATCGTTGAGGCAAGGTCTTGATGATAGCTTAAGAGCCTGGAGTTGGGGCTTAGCCTCTCAATTGGGTTAGAGTGACTTTGAGATTGGCCAGAAGATGCTAAGAATCCAAGAATAGGTAGAATTTAGAGAAGTTGAGGGAGTGCTGTTTTTTTATATAGCATACATCGCTAGGTTAGGAATGAGGGGCAAGGATGAGGCCGGTGGCAGTTGGCAAAGGTGGGGAATGAGAAAAGAGAGCCAGTTGACTTTGATCTTAAAAGACACCTTTGAAATGGAGGGGGAAGGTAGGAGAAGGGAAGGGAAGACCTGGTGTCGTGCACTCACTATCTGACTTCATTCCCGCCACAGTCCTTTGTTAGAGGTACAGTTGTCCCTCGTACTGTGGAGCCCAGAATCTAACTCAAATATGCCTGCATAGAAAGGAGCAGGACCGGGTGGAGGGGAGCAAGGGTGGTGGAGGCATCAAGATGACCCTCCTGACCTGGCATAGGAATTGAGATGGGATAGCAAATGGGAGAGATCAGTCAAGCAAAGCTGGAGAATGATTATTTAGGTATTTCATGAAATTGAAAAGGATCATAACAGATGGTTTCAGTAACAAAATGAGTGGCTTTCAGCCTTAATTATACATTTTAAATGCTGATGACAGTTAAATAATTAGCTTTATCACTGGTTACAGTTTGTTTTCTGATTCCCAGACTCATTTTCTCTCTTAGAAACAATTTTTACTCATTTTCTTACTATTTTAAGTATATTAGGCAGCCAGCTGAAGGGGCTCAGCCAGTCCAGTGTAAGGCATACTGATAAAATCAACTTCCTTACACTCAGAATCCAGCATTTCTAACTCAGTGGCCTTCCTCTTAATTCAAATCTGCATGATTCTCCATCTCAAATATCTATGCATGAATTTATACCATCTGAAAAATCTGTGGCATTAACACATTCTTTTGAATCTACTTAATTTTTAGGCATATTTTGCAGCTGTGTGGTATCAGCCCAGCTGAAGATGTTTTGGTGAAATTTAGAATAAGAGAGAGATCCTTAATGAAATTCATCAGGCGCAGTTTTGATTCACACTGGATATACCGAACTAACATTAGAAACTCCCAGTCCAGTGTCCCATGTTGCCACACCTGCCCATTTATAAATCCGTGCTTTAGAAGTGTGTGGTTTTGGTTGCGGTGCAGACCTAGCAAGATACCTTACAGAGGAGACATGTGATGAATCATTTTTCGTATGATTGGGTTGAAAGGGACTAGTTTTATGGCCTATGGACAATGACAAAGCCTTGTGACACAGAGTCTTCTGTAGATAGGTTATGTGTCTCAGGGGGGAAACATCAGCCTGTTTCACAATTGTATTAAGGAGCCTATTAATATTTAGGTAGATTTCTAAAAATCAGCCATGGAATTAAAGTGCTTAGAGAAAAAATTTGATAAATTTTAACCTTCTTATGTAATTTTGAAGAATTACTTATCTTTGCATTAATACAAAGGCAGGTAGATCATGTCATATTTCTGAAGGATAGAAATTGTCTGTGGTGCCAGTGCTAATGGATTTTTAAAAATTAATCCATTAGGATTTAGACTTGTATATAAAATGTATCCTGAAATCTTAATACGTCATTCTTTTTTATTAAAGCAGGAACTAGAGAAAGGAACAAACATTTATGAACGTCTTCTGCATTGCTAGGCTGGTTTTATTTTTTATTTTTTTAATTAATTAATTAATTTATTTATTTTTATTTCTTTTTCCCCAAAGCCCCAGTAGATAGTTGTATGTCGTAGTTGCACATCCTTCTAGTTGCTGTATGTGGGACAGGCCTCAGCATGGCCAGAGAAGTGGTGCGTTGGTGCGCACCTGGGATCTGAACCCGGGCTGCCAGCAGCGGAGCGCACACACTTAACCGCTAAGCCACGGGGCTGGCCCGGTAGGCTGGTTTTAGGTATTTTACAAGTATTCCTTGGTCATAACACCCTCTGTAAAGGTCCCTGTTCTTCAGCCATCTCACTTTGAAGAAACTGAGGCTCAGAAAGGTTTAATAACTTGCCTGGGCTCGTACAGTTCACAGGTGATAGATAGAGCCTAGATTCAAACTCTGCCCTTTTTACCAGTTAGCCATGAGTACTTACCCCATGTACATACATGTACATGTCTCTGAGGAAAAATTGAACTCACACTACCTCTCCCAATCCTTGTTCTTTTCATTAGCTCTTTGACTATGAGGTCTATTAATTGCAGCCTGTCAATATAGAGAACAAGTAGAGGGCGGAGGTGGATGGAAGAAAAGGGAGGCAAAAGCTACAACACTGTTGTTGAGTCTAATGATCTTTTAAGAGGATTTAAAATATCCACATTAAGAAAAAAATAACTCTTAGATTTATGTTTAGGAGCTAGGTTGTTAACTTTTAGGATGTGATAACATAACTAATGTGATGAATTAAAACCACATTAAACAAGAAGAGATGATACCTTACTAACAACCGTAAAACGTTTTTTTATTTTATTCCAGTTACGATACCAGAAGTGCTTGGTAGCCAGGCCGCCGTCACAGAAAGTTCGACCACCTCCTCCGCCAGCAGACTCAGTGACCAGAAGAGTCACAACCAATGTAAAACGAGGGGTCTTATCCCTCATTGACACTTTGAAACAGAAACGCCCTGTCACAGAAACGCCCTAGCTGCATATGTTAAAGGAGTCTCTAATAGTTACCTGAAGATTGAACAGCTACACTAAAGAAGATGAACTGATGTCTGGCCTTCCATTCAGTTGCTGATGCTTTGTCTTCAGAGAATTTATCCTTAACCAAACAGTGTTAGACAAGCATGTTCTCATGTCTTGCCACCATCATGTGATATGAAAAGAAGCATGACTAATTTTTTTTGCTGTCAGTAAGTTACATCATGAGCAGTGGAAGGTCTTTTTCTTATTGTAAATATCGTGAACATTGCTTAACTTCACACACACACACGAATGTGGCCACACCCCTCCTAGTGAACTAATCCTGAGTCCTTGGAGTGAATGACGTCTGAGTTAGTGTCACTGTCTTCTTGACTGGATCTGTCACAAGCAACTTTTAAGTCCTACAGCACTTTGCCCTGTTTTCAACATTGGAGTAGACACTGCTTACCAGATACCATTGAAATGCTGTAAAAATAGGATGATGAGTTTTTGTTTTAGTTTTTCATAAAATTGAACCTTTTGGTTGACAACATTGGCTGTAGGCATCAGTACAGAAACCAACTGGCAGCTTTCCTTGACGAGCTCTTTGACACATGGACACCATTTCATGTCTACAGCTGTTTGTGGGATATTGGGAAAAAGTGAAACTTCAAAATTGAAAAACAAACTAAATTTCAGAAATCAAAATCGAACAAAAATAGCCTTTCTTTTCAGATGGTTTTCAAACTGATTATTAAGAAAAAGAAAGATGAACAAAATCATAATGCATTTCGGGTGGGACGTATTTCAAACTACTGCCTTATACCGTACAGTGCAGCTAGAGAATTACACTTCACTATGGCCATTCTTTACATAGACAACATGACAATGAAATATTCCTCATACCTTTCACCCTCAGTTTGATAATTAGCCCGTATGCAATTTGGAGTTGAGGAAATGTCATGTGTATTTTAGATTTCCACCACCATGTTGTTAGTCCACCTCCTAGGTACATGTCTGCTAGGATCCTGCATCTAGCTCAGTCTTACCCTGATGCTTTTTGCCCAGAAAGCTGTCTGTCCATCATGGATAGTCCATGGCAACAAATTACATTAAATTGAACCTTTCTTGAATTAATGTATTTAATATTAGAATTTGTTGGAACTCTACTAGATATATTTTTAAATTTATATTTTTTCCATTTTATTTTCAAGATTTAAAAATTTCTTATCAGAGCAAAATATACATAGGAACAATGGACTATTTAACAAGGTTCCAAAAAATAGCACTTTCCTGCTTCTCTCTCTATAGATAGGAAACTGAGCTGTAAAGATTATACAGGTTTAGGCTCTTGTTGACATTGTTGTTTTAAAAGGAATTTGCTAAGGAGATCAAGCTAAACATTAGTCTTGTTCCCTTTTAATTGTCAAAATTAACATTTTATAACATCCAGCTATAACAGTAATGCTTTATGTTTGTCCACCTTTTTTTTTTGATGAGGAAGATTACCTGAGCTAACATATGTTGCCAGTCCTCCTCTACTTTATATGTGGGATGCCTGCCACAGCATGGCTTGATAAGTGGTGTGTAGGTCCGCGCCCGGGATCTGAACCTGCGAATCCCATGCCGTCGAAGCAGAGCACGCGAACTTAACCACGACGCCACTGGGCCGGCCCCATGTTTATCCACTTTTATGTACTTGTCAAAGTGGTTTCCACATTCTTATCACATGTGAGCCTTATAAGGTAGAGAAGGTACTAAACACATTTGAGAAGTGAAAATATGAAGTACCAAGTGGCTCAGTCACCTAGCCTACGATCTCATGCATGTTAATGAGAAAACCAGAATTAGGACCCACACTTCCCAACTCTAAGTTATGCTTATAAATTATGCTGCTTCCACACCAGTCAGGAAGAGTCTTTCCAAGATTACTCCAGGCATACCCAGATGTTATCAGGAAATCTTAGAATTCCTTGTATAAGTAGGGAAATTCGTCCAAGTTACTCACGCAGTGGTATTAATCATAAAACCATTGCTCTCTCAGTCCAGGACTGTTTTCCTGCAGTGTGCCTCAAATGAGTTGTAGAGGATAGGATTCTCCAGGCAGTACAGCCTGTTCACCCCATGATATTTTCCAGAGATGCCTAACTCGTGATGCTTTGCCCCCAGAGAACATGATAGAATGACTAGGTGGCTTTCTCCCTCTGTCCCCTCTCAGAATTCTGGAATTATTTCTTAGCGCCCTAGTGTTATGAAAAAAGATGACACTCTAGAAATGAATTATATTTCTCACCAGCCTATATACTATTCTCTCTGAAGTAACCATTACCATCAGAAGAAATTATTGCATTAAGAAAATCCTTATTGTGCCCTTTGAAAGCTGTTCACAGTTCAATCCTGATGATCATTCGTCTTGATCTCCACAGTGAAGTGTTGCAGTGTGGTAAACTTCAAAATTCTGAACAAGTAATCTACTTTTATATTGGAACTCTCTACCAGAACCCCCTGTTCATTTTGTAAGGCATACATTTATTTGTTTTCAGAATCAAGAATACTGAGCTAGCTTTAAGTAGCAAACTGATTTATATATGCAATTATAGGATGCATTAAGATGAATGATAGCCTTTACATATTGAAAACTTTACTGCAGATATTTTCTTTTGAAAATAGCTTTGCATACTAAATGCAATTAATTTTTTAAAATTAATTATGTTAAACAGTATATTCAGACACTTTCTGCCATGGCCAAAAAGTATGTATGAGAGTACGTGTGTATTTTTCTGTGAAAGGATGCCAGTGTTTTACCTGATAATGTAGTGAGACTTCAGTTATCTATGCATTCTTTATATCTGTGATGCGGTAAACAGGCAGCCATGTTCACTATGCCTTGTATGTCTTACCTTTTTTTTAATTAACCTGTTAAATACAGCTTAAAATATTTTTATTTTATTTATTCTATTTTTACTGAAATATACTGCATTATTGTGTTAATGTATTGTCTTTACTGGATATTATCTCACAATGTATCCAGGTCTAAATAATCTCAGTGAACTATATACATTGCCTAAAAGGTGGTTTTGTAATGATTTGTAGTCACATTTTTATTGGAATATGTAGAAGACAAGACAAAATGCTTAAAGTTCCTTTTATTTTTTAAACGCAGCTAGATAGACACAGACTTGCCACCTCATGTATGTGCTCCTTGGCAGCATCAAGGAGAATAGCCTATTTGCCTATGGCTAAAAACTTTACTTTGCAAACTCAAGCACTGCTTGGTGCTTCATTTTTATATCCTTCATGACATATGTCATCTCATCTAAAAGACACCTGTCCACATGCCCTTTGTTTCCACCTGGATATAACATCACCCATAGCTAACTAGGACCATTGTTTTTTTGTTTCGTGTCTGTCTGATTGCATAAAGGGATGTTACACCCATTTCCATTAAAATAAGTTCTTGGTGATAAACTGTTGGCACTGCTACTTTTTTTTTTTTTTTTTTGGGGGGGACCAGCCCTGAGCTAACATCCAATGCCAATCCTCCTCTTTTTTGCTGAGGAAGACTGGCCCTGGGCTAACATCCATGCCCATCTTCCTCCACTTTATATGGGATGCTGCCACAGCATGGCATGACAAGCGGTGCATCGGTGCGCACCCGGGATCCGAACCGGCGAACCCCAGGCCGCCACAGCAGAGCGCGCGCACTTAACCGCTTGTGCCACCGGGCCAGCCCCGGCACTGCTACTTTTTAAAAAATCCACTTTATGATTTTATGATAGACATTTGTAAGACGATTCTACACAAGGTTGTTTACTAGAAGCCGTAAATCTTTCCTCCTTTTCTTGTATGACACACTCATTTCATAAGCGTTGCAACACAAATTCAAGATTTCATAACATGAAAAACATTTCTCTAACTGATATTAGCACAATTTAACTAGTAAAACCATTAGCTCTCTAGTTTGCCAGGCTTACTTAACCTAATACACAGCTAACGTGTGTTATACAGCCAGTAAAATGAAGTGAATTTATTTCAGCTTCAGGGAAAAAATACTGCTCATGCTTTATCAATGAGAGCACTCCCTGCCATCCAAAGCAGCTTGTTTATCCCGAAAGAACCTTTGGTTTTGCTTTCTGCCCCTTTTGCTGTTGACCACTTTTACACATTTAAATGTAATATGTTGTGAGAATAAACTTAGCTGCATAAAATGTTTGGCTCTTTTATCTGACACCTCAGTCATATATATCCAGGAATACAAATGTCAGTTCACTGTCTCCAACCTCATCATTTTATTTTCAAATTATTCTTACCTCCAATTTAAAATCATTTGAGTAATGTACGATTCTGCTTTGATTAGTTATTGCATATTTCCACCTCATAAGAACTAGAAAGTAAATTTTGAGTAGTTCCTCACTGTCATTTGGTGAGCAGGAAGGACAGAGGCCTATTTCATCACCAACTTGAGGGTTGTGTGCACAGTCTTGCTAGTATTAAGATAGTCTGTCATTTCCTTTCAGAACGTGACGTCAAAGAATGAAGGACAGAGTTGTACAGGCACTAAGTCCAAAATGAAACCAGAAGACTCAGTTGAATCTGGTTTAGTTTAACTGTTAGACACAGGGAAGAGGAGAAACAGAAGCTAAAGGATGTACCCATTTTTTGTTGATCTTGCATTTCCCCCAGTAGTTTCTCTCTTTTACTCTATCAAAGGCAGTTACTCTCAAGGAACAAAATTTCATTTGGTTTCAGGTATTATATAGTAATAATTTCAGATAAAAATCTGAATTTTCTACTGGAGTATCGAAATACTAGTAATTTCATTGTTTTAGGTTTTTTGTAGCACTTTCCTCTAAGAAGTTCAAGAAAGAAAAATATCAGTGTAATCCATATTCTTCACTAGAATTATTATTGGTTTATTATTTTTTTTTTTTTGGTAAGGAAGATTAGCCTTGAGCTAACATCTGTTGCCAATCCTCCTCTTTTTGCTGACGAAGATTGGCCCTGAGCTAACATCTGTGCCCATCTTCCTCTATATTATGTGGGACGCCTGCCACAGCATGGCTTAATAAGCGGTGCATAGGTCTGTGCCCGGGATCCGAACGTGCATACCCCAGGCTGCCAAAGCAGAGCACATGAACTTAACTACTACGCCACCAGGCTGGCCCCATTGCAAATTGTTTTTATCCAAAGTATTTTTCCCTTTTTAGTCTACCAAAGTATTTAAATAACTGATCATGTCCGTCTTAGAAGATTCTGAAAGAAGAAAACTGCAGGCTCAGTTAATGAATGGTTTAATTCAGACTCTCCATATACTTCTAAAGAGAAAAATAATTTAGCGACAAGATGCATTTTATGAGATCCTGAAAATAAGTGGCTGAAGTTGTGACATGACATGACTCACACTCTGCTATAGAGAGATCAGAAAAACGTCCTGAACTATTTCATAACAATGAGAGTCTTCTTTTCATAACTTACACAGAAAAAAATCTCAGACCTGCTACTTTTGAACAATGGAATACTTTTCAGCCTGGGGCAGGGGGAAGAGGGCAGGAAAGGGATGAAAGATTCCTGGGATAAAATACCAGCTCTTTACCGAACAAAGTTCAATTCAGCTGCTCTGGCCCCCTAAGCCGGCTAGAGAGTGGAAGAGGAAACACATACTATAACTTCTAGAGCAAAGAGAGACATAGTTTTTGATTTTTGAAATTAGTAAAATAAGCTGAGCATTTAAAACATTTCTGTTTAAGAGTCATAATTAACATGAGAATTCTTTGGGATTTAAAATATAATAAGCCTGGTTCAAGTATAAAACGTCTTGTTTCCTTTACTGACAAATTTATTGATAAACGTAAATCTTTAGCCAAAATAAAAATAATTTATTACTACTAAAATTCACAATTTTTTAATTTTCACTTCAGGTGAGAAAGAATAAAATATTAGAGCTGAAATAGACCTAAATATTTATCTTGAAGAGGATAATATTCTACTAAAACTATACCACCTGAATGGAATGTTAGGAATTTGTATAACACTGTTCAACACAACTGGATTCTGAAAATAGAACTTTAAATTCAAACTTCATGAATGTGTCTGAACATTTTTTTAAATAGGACTTACAGTTGTAACTTATTCCATTTAATGTCAAACAATTTCTGCTGCCATGATGAAAAAAAAATAGACCCAGAAATGATGATCATACCAGTTCTTGGTAAGCAACTGATAATACGTTCAAGATGAATTGACTTTTAATATAATTAACATAGTGTTACAATACATTTTAATTGTGCATCAGAAATAATTTGCCAAAGTTTGATTACTGTGTGCCATTTGAAATGACTTGTAGATTTTACTATTTCACCTGATCTTTGAGTAGAAGCAGAAATTTTTATAGGTTTCTTCAATAGGAATCATTTGTATTCAACAGTTTTGCCTCTTCCTCAGAATTATTACTATTTAGATGGAAATTTGCTTACAGTCACTTTTTTACAACAGTATTTGTCATAAATAGAAGAGAGCTGATTATCTTCAATCTGCTCAGGGTCCTGGAAGCTCTTCCAATGAGAAACAGTTTTCATTCTGTGAACGGACATCCGAACTACCCGCACCTGGAACTTTGAAACTTCCTGTTCCTCCAACTCATACTCAACCTCAATCACATTACAAAAACTGATGTATGTTTAAAGAATATTTCGATATTTAAGGAAAAAACCAACCTCGATAGTGACTGAAATGTTAAACTACAACTGACTAGACACTGAAGAGCAATCTAAAGTCAGTGAGAGAAGACCAGCATCTTCCATATCTATGCTTTCTAATAAACTGCCTCACAAATTAAGTTTGAAAAGAAGTCTGTTATAAGGTGTCACTGTTTCCCCTCAGGAAAAATTGTTGCAGCTTTCATTTAAAACTGGTGTCCTAAGTGTAGACTCAAAGTTAACAAGAGTGAGACAAGTGCTAACAGCTGATACTGAGTCCGCAACTGGACATTCTAGAACAGATCAGCACTGAGCTGTTGAAATCACTGAATTCCGCTTTGCTTAATTGCCTACATTATTCTCATCTGTCTTAATCCTCTTGAAGGTAGTATCACATTTAGAAGATGCTGAGTGACTGAAAGGATGAATATCTTGTGTAGGTATGTCTAACCTTCAGAGAAATATCAGACTTTGAAAAAAAAATCAACTGCTTTTGACTCCTGTAAAAAACACAAGACAGTCAAAGCCATGGTCGAGGACGCCTGAGTAGGGAAGAAGGTAAGTTTTCTTTAGGCTTTTCCCCTCTTCTGGGTATCGATGGTGTGGAAAGGTAGCCGGGCACAACAGTCTTGGGTCCAACCCAACGACAGTAAAAATGTTGAGTTGGCATCTGAGATCTGATCCCTTGAGGACTTGAAAATGGCAACATTACTGGAGGCAAAACAATCTCTACGGGTTTCAGTACAACCATTTTGTCTTCTGGTCGAGGTCTTATGAAGTTTGTTGGCCGTTCATATGGTCTGGAGGAAGATGTGTTCTTCATAAATGTAGGCACTAAAGGATTGGTGGCAGGCTTGTTGGGTTTTCTGACCTGTGAGGAAGAACCCACTTGAGTTGTATTTTTCTGTGGAAGAGATCTTTTTGTTAATGTCTCTGACTGATTAGCATTTGCATTAGTTTCTCGATTCAGGAACTCAGCAATTTTTATTTGGATGCCATTACTGTCAGTAGTAGAAGCTTTTGGGAATGATATTTTTGATCTTTTCTTCTTCTTCTCCCGTTTTGAAGATTTACCCAACTCAATCCCCTCCAGTAGACCCTTTGCTGCAGCGCGGGCCAAAACATCTTTCACAGACACTGTCTCGGATGGGTCCCGCTATAATTAAAGAAGCAGTTACTAAATATGGGAGTTAACCATTACTGTGTATATTACAAATATTTATCAGTGTTTCAGTAAAAATAAGAGTATCTTTATTATACTAAAAGAAATAGTTTTACTGCTTAGTTTCTAAGGTATCCCATGAGACTCAGTAAATGACTTTTTTGTACTTAAACTTCCCCAGTTGTGAACCTGATAGGAAAAACAAAAGAATTACGGAGCTTATTTCTTACATGTAAAGTAAGATGAACTAGATGTTGACAGAGTGCATGGAGAGGTGGGGTGGACAGCAAGCAGGGGAGGAACACTCAGGAGAAAGTGTAAAGATAAAAATATGGATTTTTTGCCATAAAATAATAATTCTTTTTCCTGCCCTTTAGTGATTTATGAAATAAGCACACCATTACAAAATGTTCACAAAATTCCCAGGTTCCTTTTATGAGGCTTTATTGTTTCTTAATTCCAAAGTATGTCATGGATTAGGATTTTTTTTTTCCTTACCTCCCTTGTTAGAACAGAAAGAAAACAACCATTGGTGATTTCAGATGGTTCCACTCTGAAAAATTTATCAGTAGACAAGTGTATTTCCTTCAAGGAGCACAGCGGAAGGACAGGAGGACTGAGCCTGCAGTAGATATGAGCAGACAATTCACAGTTAGAATGGCTTATTTGCCAATAGAGGGAGACAGTCAATTCCAACAAATTTTCTTCAGTTATGTTTTACCAATCATTTAAACACAAATTCCAAGTAAGGATAAGGTGCTGAAGCAGTATGATACTATTATAAATTTAAAACTCTAATGTTTCATGTTAACTCATAATTGATTCTACTTCCTAAGTCCTCCATCTTTAAACAACTATGCCAAGAATACCAACCTTTCAACAAATTAAAAACTCTTCCTCAAGTCATTAATATATTAACAAAAAGGCTTCCATTATCAAAACAGGTAACAATGTATATAGTAATCACAAAGGTATAATCCAAAATATCCTTTACTTCCACATGTCAAAATACAAAAAGTATGACTTCCTTCTTTTCGTTACTTTTTGCACAATTACAGTACAGACTTGTGTCACTTAATGACAGGGATACGTTCTGAGAAATGCTTCCTTAGGCAATTTCATCTTTGTGTGAACATCATAGAGTGTACTTACACAAACCTAGATGGTATAGCCTACTACACACCTAGGCTTTACAGTACTAATCTTATGGGACCACTGTTGTACATGCAATCCATCGTCGACTGAAACATTGTTATGCAGTGATGACTGTATAAAAATATGGCCTCTCATTTTATAATTTTGATTTATTTATTTTTTTCCCCCAAAGCCCCAGTAGATACTTGTATGTCATAGCTGCACATCCTTCTAGTTGCTGTATGTGGGACACGGCCTCAGCATGGCTGGAGAAGCAGTGCATCAGTGCGAGCCCAGGATCCGAACCCGGGCTGCCAGCAGCGGAGCTCGCGCACTTAACTGCTAAGCCACGGGGCCGGCCCATGGCCTATCATTTTAACTACATTATTCTTCCCAATCACTTTTTGAGTTTTAATGGATGAGTTATGTACTGTTCAAGAAAGTACATAACGGGCCGGCCCGGTGGCGCAAGCGGTTAAGTGGGCGTGCTCCACTGCGGCGGCCTGGGGTTCGCCAGTTTGGATCCTGGTGGCACACCAACACACCACTTGGCAAGCCATGCTGTGGCGGAGTCCATATAAAGTGGAGGAAGATGGGCACTGATGTTAGCCCAGGGCCAGTCTTCCTCAGCAGGAAAAAAAAAAAAAAAAGAGGAAGATTGGCAGATGTTAGCACAGGGCTGATCTTCCTCACAAGAGAAAAAAAAAGAAAGTACATAACAACAAAAAAAGACTGTCAGAAATATAGAAATCTCTAATCACTAATTGTTTAAAATAAAATTTTGGTTTTTATATTTGATAATTTCTCATTCAATAATAAGTGATTCATTCATAAATAATAAATAATTCTTATATTCTCATGCTTTTACAATTAAAATATATTTAATCAAAACAATAAACACTTTTCCACATAAAATATCAGGAATTCTTTTATTAATTCTATATATTCTGAAATTTAAAACCACTTTAAATTTATATTTATTCATTCATTATTTGCCTACTGTGTGCAAAGCACATAAGTACAATATTAATTCTCTTAAATAGTTTACAATTTAGTTGGAGAAACTAATAGATTTGCAATAATATAAAGAAGACCAGCCATATAAAAATTGCATAAGAAATCCATTAAAAAAAAGAAGACGACCAAATAAGAATGCTGAGCCAAGTAGAGACAAAATTAAGCAGGAGTACAGCATAAGGTAGAATTAACTCTGGCCGTGGGAGATAGCAACTATGAAGACTTTACAGAGGAAGCAGCACTGGTGCTATGTCTTGAAGAATAAGTAGGCTTCCAATAAGGTAAAGAAGGCAATTCTAGACAGAAAGAAGAACATGAACCAAAGTGCACATGTCATGAAAATGTATGTTCAGGGTACAGCAAGTATTTCCGTGTGGCTGGGGCATAAGGTGAATAAGGGGATGTAGAGGTCACTGAAGATGCAGGCAGACACACATGACCTCAGATGACATGCCAAAAAGTCTGGTAAACATAATAAGTGCTTATGTTGAACTAAGCTGAAATATAATAGCTATGTGGGTTGTAAAAGCAAGAGAGCTAGTTGCTCCTCTCACCAACCTTGTAACCAACAAAATGAATTTCTGAGGCCTTTTCATATATGTTCTCTACACAACTAGCAATCATCAAAAAAATTATTCACTTATATATTAGGTAAAGAATACTCTCTGAAAATTGTTTCTTACCAATTTAGAAAATATTTAGCTCAGGAACGTAAATATGAAGGTTGGGATTTTTTTCCAGTTTTAATTCACTGATATATTCCTAGAATCTAGAAGAGTGCTTGGTACATGGTAGGTATTCAATAAATATTTATTTAATAGACTATGATATATTTTAGCTACATATATGCTGTCTTTTTAAATGGTAATAATAATCCATAATGAAGATTGGTCAAGTTACCTTACAGAAATTGCCCCTACATGACAAAATGATTTCCACTCCAGCTTACAGCCCATTTCTTTGAATACTAAAATAAGTTCATACCCAGAATCTCACTCATACCTGATTTAGATGATGACATTTGGGATTTTTTGAGTTGATGATATTTAAATGAGATTTTGGATTTAGAATTAATCCTGTAATGGATGAAGACTTTTGAGGATGTTGGGGTAGGGTGAATGTATTTTGCACATGAGACAGGCATAAAATTTGAGGAGCCAGAGTATGGATTGTTGTGGTTTGAATAGTGTCCCCCCAAAATTCATGTCCACCCAGAACTGCAGAATGTGATCTTATTTGGAAATAAGAGTCTTTGCCAATATAATTAGTTAAGATGAAGTAATACTGGAGTAGGGGAGATCCTAAACCCAATATTGGTGTCTCTGTAAGAAGAGAGGACACACAGAGACACAGAGAGGAAGAAGGCCCTGTGAAGATGGAGGCCAAGACTGGAGTGATGTAGCTACACGCCAAGGAACGCCAAGGATTGCTAGCAAACACCAGAAGCTAGGAGAGAGGCATAGAACAGATTCTCTCTCAGAGGCTCCAGAAAGGAACCAACCCTGCCAACACTTTGATTTCAGACTTCTAGTCTCCAGAACTGTGAGAGAATAAAGTTCTGTTGTTATAAGTCACCAAGTTTGGGATAATTTATTGTGGCAGCCCAGGAAGATAATACACATGGCAAAAGGAATTTCGTGAATGTAATTAAGGTCTCAAATTAGTTAATCTTAAGATATGGGTAGTATCTGGGTGGACCTGACCTAATCACATGAGCCCTTTAAATCCAGGTCTACAGGTCAGGGATGGAAGAACTCAGAGATTCAAAGCATGATGCACTATCGCTGGCTTGAAGATGGAGGAGCAACATGGCAAGGAATGGATGTGGCCTCCAGAAACTGAGAGCATCTTGGATTGATAGCCAGCAAAGAAATGAGGACCTCGGTCCCACAACCACAAGAATGGGGTTGGAAGCAAATTCTTCCCCAGAGTCTCCAGCAAAGAATTCACCAGGCTGACACCCTGAGCAGAGAATCTAGCCACGCCACGCCAGACATGACCTATAGAACTATGAGCTAATTATGGGTGTTGTCTTTAGCTGCTATATTTGTGGTAATTTCTTAAGCAGAAATAGAAAACTAATACATAATGGCTCACATTAAGTGAGAAGAAATGCCAGATTGCCATGGCAGACAGTAGAAAAAAGGATTAGAAACCTCAGAGGAGTGAGCTTGCTACAGTGGGTGTACTATTAAGGCTGGAGAACCCACCAGAGGTCTGTGTTGAGAGGAGGGCCCAAAAGATCCACCCTTTATTAGAGCAACAAGGAATGTGCTGGTGAGAGCAGCACCAGCAGCTCTCAGAAGTTCAGTGGCGACTTTCCTCCATAGGCCAGCGCTGACAGTAGGAGAGGCCATTACAGAACGGGGCTCATTGACAGCAATGAGCGTAAAAGGATCCCGAGACAATAGTGACCAGGTGAGCAAATTACCCATCAGAAGCCAGGTATATGTGATTAATGATTATCATAATAAGTACAAAGGCTGGCATAGCCATCCATTTCCTCTCATGCACCACTTAGCTTCCCTACCCTCCACCTTTACTAGGTAACAGAAAATCAGAACATAGAACACAACCTATCAGTATCTGGCCCTCAAGCTCAAAGACTGTTCACTATTAGAAAATACATAGTGTTAATTCACCACCATGTTAAAATGTCAGATGAGAAAAAATATTTGATCACATCATAAAATGCTGCTTTTGATAAAACTAGGCATCCATTAGTGATTTTAAAAACCTTATTATGGTACTGGAATAAGTATAAACATATAGATCAATAAAATAGAATTGAGAGTCCAGAAATAAGCCCATATATCTATGATAGGTTGCTTTTCAACAAGGGTGCCAAGACCATTTAATGTGGAAAGAACAGTCTTTTCAAAAAGTGGTGCTGGGACAACTGGATATCCACATGCAAAACAATGAATTTGGACCCCTACTTCACATCATATACAAAAATTAATCAAAATGAATCATAGACCTAAACATGAAAGCTAAGACTACAAAACATTTGGAAGAAAATGTAGGCATAATCCTTTGTGACCTAGGATTAGGCAACAGTTTCTTAGTTATGATACTTAAGGCACAAGCAACAAAATAATAAACAGATAAATTTTACTTCAGAATTACAAACTTTTGTGCATCAAAGGACCATCAAGAAAGTAAAAAGCCCACAGAATGGGAGATAATATTTGAAAATTATGTATGTAACATGGGTCTGATATACAGAACATATAAGGGACTCGTTTACAACTCAACAATAAAAAGACAACGCAATTTTAAAATGGGCAAAGAATCTGAAGAGACATTTGTCCAAGGAGGATACACAAATGGCTAAAAGAAGCTCACAAATGAAAAGAAGCTCAACATCATTAGTCACCAGGGAAATACAAATCAAAACCACAATGAGATACCCCTTCACATCCACTAGGCTGGCTAGAATTAAAAAGTCAGATAATAACAAGTGTTGGT